GTGTGTGTGTGTGGCTGCTTGTACTAGTTCGGACTGATGCTGATTTATAGTTCTAGCTCACTGAGATACCATGCCGCAATTTAACATGTATACCCCACTCAGACACACTATACTGACCCCGAGCTGACCATGTTTTAGCCCCTTAATGACGAGCGCCAAACAGGGTAACAACAAGTACCATATTTTAACGTCTTTTGGTATAATGCGACCGGGGATCGAACCCCGGACGTTCCGCTCTCCAGATAGCCGAGTCTCTCGAAGAATATCAACCCTTAAAACAATGTAAGAGTATTTTAAACTCCAAACCATGATCTATGTTCTTCCACAGAAATTGGGATATTTCCATTCATTCATGTTGGTGCATTTTCAAAGCGCATCAATATATTACCAAATGTTGGCAAAGCTTGCCAATTCAAAATCATGTATTTTTAACATTCTTTGAATTTATTCTTTCAGTTTGATTTCTCCCCTACTGTTTCATGAGAGTGGTCTTAGCTCAAATTTTGCTAGGCACGAATTTTGTCTTAAGTTTGTAAGATTTTGCTTAGCTAAGATTCGGTCTAAGACTGGATCTTGAAACGGTCTCCGCAAAATCTTAGCTAAGTCTAAGTCTAAGACCGTCGTCATAGGGACACGCGCACGTCGTTGTACACATCAAGAGGGGTTGAATCGGTCTCGAAATGTCCGATGAATTGCTATTTTGTCCTTTTTAGCCCTTAGGCGACGCATGAGGCGAACAACCTCCGCCATCTTTCTTGCTACAAATTTTGTCTTAAGTCTACTCAGGGGCAGTCTTAGATATTCTCACCGATTGAGCTTCGTGATCCCGAATTTAAGACAAAATTTGGTCTTAAGTCAAAATCTTAAGAGTTAGGACAAAATATGGTCTTAAGTTAGTTTCATGATCCCGGGGCCTGGTGTCCCCCGATACTGCAGGAATATTGCTTACTCACTCAACTACTTATCTCTACAACTATTGAATCGATTGTGCAAGCAGGATCTCAGCGTAAGAGCAAGGCGATTTTATACGTCTTTTATGGTATCACAGCAACATCTCCAAGAGTGCTTTGAGGGCGTTTTCTCATTCCGATATCTGACAAGATGACTTCACGAAGACGACAGTTTTTTGTTGGGACAGCTGCTTATACTAAGATAACAGAGCCGGTTGTGCGTATGATGAAGACAACAGGTAAATGACACACTGTTAACAATAACGCCAGATAGCAGCGTGAAGCAGATAGCAGATGTGAAGTATACATGCACTTGAAGGTGATAAACTTTCATGTACGCTGTACATGTCCCAGACCCTAGAGAATAAATTAAAAAACGAGCCTCAACTCGAGTCTAGAATGATTTGGCAAGTCTACAATATAGCATTGCTCTGGGCTGCATTTGGATTTTATTTTTTATTATGTAGATATACGTTTCGAGATGGAATCACTTTATTTCTGGGACAACATGTTAGTCTAAAATCAAACATAAGTATCGTTTTGTATACTCTGCAACAAATTAGATGTATATTTTATATATCATACGTATCAATAATCAACAGACGATAATCGATTGTTTAAAATTGGCACATATCATTCTCATTGACCCAGGTTCCGTATGGCACACATGGAACAGAAGATTTTCAAGGTGAAGGTCATCTGTTCTCAATATCTTGTATGGCCACCATTAGAGTCCAAAACTGACTGGCATCGTCGTCCCGTGGAAGCAATCAGATCTCGAATTGTGGCCTGTGGAATGTTCACTCAATCTGCCTGCAGTGCTTGTAGCAACTGTCGGAGGTTCTGTGGTTGTTGCTGACGTGCTCGCAGTCGTTGATCCCAGTGCCTCACTAAACCAAACGGATCTCCATCGCAGAAGTGGCCATACTCTGTGACCCGACAAAGGAGGGCAGTTGAAAAGACCGAGAGCTGCAAATGATAATGCCCAGAAAAATAGCGTTATCCTTATTATGGCTAAAATGAATAGAATTTGTTACCAGGTGAGGTGAGGTGAAATTGGTTTAACGTCGCGTCCAAGATTATTGCTCATAGAAAGCGCTGTGCATGCACGTGTATGTGTGTGCGTGCGTGTGCGTGTGCGTGTGTGTGTGTGTGTGTGTGTGTGGCTGCTTGTACTAGTTCGGACTGATGCTGATTTATAGTTCTAGCTCACTGAGATACCATGCCGCAATTTAACATGTATACCGCACTCAGACACACTATACTGACCCCGAGCTGACCATGTTTTAGCCCCTTAATGACGAGCGCCAGACAGGGTAACAACAAGTACCATATTTTAACGTCTTTTGGTATGATGCGACCGGGGATCGAACCCCGGACCTTCCGCTCTCCAGATAGCCGAGTCTCTCGAAGAATATCAACCCTTAAAACAATGTCAGAGTATTTTAAACTCCAAACCATGATCTATGTTCTTCCACAGAAATTGGGATATTTCCATTCATTCATGTTGGTGCATTTTCAAAGCGCATCAATATATTACCAAATGTTGGCAAAGCTTGCCAATTCAAAATCATGTATTTTTAACATTCTTTGAATTTATTCTTTCAGTTTGATTTCTCCCCTACTGTTTCATGATCAGTAGTGATGAGCCACTTTTACATCTGTCTACGTATCTCTCAAAGTCCAAACATCACTTCCGGTTCCAAATGATGGCTCAAGGTGTGTAAACATTGCCACACTCAAACATTACCGGTCTTCAGCTTTCCACCAGTCGTCTAAGGCGCCACAATTCGCTGTGCAGAGTTGCGTCCCTTGGGCACACCAAAAACCTATGATTTTGGGTTAGAATCCCGGTTCGACCCGATTATGTTTCTAGGTTTGTCAGCACCATACCCGTGCTCGTGGGTTTCACCGAAGTGGTAAACGCCTGAGACCTGCATCACTTCGGGCTTTCCTCCCACATTATGCTGACACGCCGTGATATGACTAGAATACTGTTAAAAGCGGCGTTAAACACAACTCACTCACTCACTCAACGTTCCAAACATGCCGGGGCGGTCGGGTAGCCTAGTGGGTTAAAAACGTTCGCTCGTCACGCCGAAGACCCGGGTTCGATTCCCGACATGGGTACAATGTATGAAGCCCATTTCTGGTGTCCTCCGTCGTGATATTGCTTGAATATTGCTAAAAGCGGCGTAAAAAAACATACTCACTCACTCACTCCAACCATGCCGTTAGCGCCAATGTTCGGACCAGTTGCTTTAAGCAAATCTAATATAGACGTGTTTTCCCTGCTATTGAAGAGATTAATGATACGCAACGCTGCGATGACGTACACATGGAATGCGTAAATAACGCACACCGGTAATTGAATGCGCCTAGATAATGATACGAGGGCTAGGGCTACTAACACAACGCGCAACGTGTACTTATTCCGGGGGTCGTGGCGTTAATACGTTAACTGGGAGGATGAGGAAGAGCTGAGATTCCAACTCCAAGCTGCCCCACTTAGATAAGATACGCTGGCATTTTAACCATATCTTTGACAACTTTGGAGTCTGCCGTTTGTGATGAGTAACAGGAAGCATTTATGCTTTTTGAAAATAGACCATATACCCCCAAAGAGTTCCCCCATTTACCTGTGGAATCGCTCAGGTGTGTTTTTGTTTTGTTGGGTGAGCGTAGCGCCAGCCTGTCTGAGTTTGTGTTTCGTGCATTCAGAAGCTTTGTATGTTAGAGGTTATTTTTATCACAAGATTGAAATAATTATGTTAATATCTCTACCGCTCGACTTGACTTTTACCAGATCTGTTCGGTATATCGGACGATAGGAAGACTTTTTATAAACATTTTGATGGAGGTTATTGCTGTAATTGTATTTACTGAGAGAGTCAGTGTTCAATTGACCGATCGTCAAAAATATATTTGTAGACACTGTAAGTACAACGTTTGAGGCAATGTTACGTCTATATTTACCATGTATCGCTTTAACTCATTTGGTACAGAATATGTCATCAGTTGTACGGGCGCTACATTTATGACAAAAATATTTTGAAGCGACATTTTTTGTCATTTGTTATGAATACGTTTAGCAGTGTATTCGCACGAGCATTTTAAGAGCGATGAGTGAGTGAGTGGGTGAGTGAGTGAGTGAGTGAGTGTAGTTTAAACTGATGTGAACAGTATATCATCAGTTTTTTCACGACGTATCAGCTTAATGGAGGTGGGTGTGGTGGGAGTGGCCTAGTGGGTGTGGGTGGGCCAATAGTGTCGCAAGTAGTAAACGTTGATCACTCACTCACTCACTCACTCACACATCATCACGTACCTCATCTTCCCGAGGCAAGAGCGTCCTCTCGTCTTTCAATCAGTCTTGTTTCCACTAGCTAGGCTTTGATATAAACTAGTGGACACGCTTGCCTCGGGAAGATGCACGCAACTTAATAATAACAAAACTATTTTCAACAAGAAAATATTTATTCATACAAAACACAACTTCTCGTTAGCCCAGTACGAGTGGTATTTACCAGTTAGCACTGTGTAATGAAACAATAACAACATAAATCAACACCGGGATAGCGCTCACAGGGTTTATGCTCATAATGATATACACTCATCCTCTTGAAACTCCTGATAAACGGATAATCCATAAATAACAGGTCACATATATTTGCTCATAACACACAGTTGAAATAATGTATTTGAATTTAACTGGTAATAATGATTATCTTAAATATTGTCAAGCACTCCTAAAATAAGAAAAGTGTTACATCATGATAAATGAAATTATGTGTGATCATAGGCCAGCTGATGAACATACATCCAATCATGTGCACGGTGACTGTGGCATTCAAGGTACATTCAGGCATTGATGTCACCGAGTTACACAAAGAGTGAGTGAGTGAGTGAGTTCGGTTTAACGCCGCTTTTAACAGTATTCCAGTTATATCGCGGCGTGTCAGCTTAATGTGGGAGGAAAGCCCGAAGTGATGCAGGTCTAAGACGTTTACCACTTCGATGAAACCCACGAGCACGGGTATGGTGCTGACAAACCTAGAAACATAATCAGGGCGAACCGTGATTCGAACCCACAATCATAGGTTTCTGGCGTGCCCAAGGGACGCAACTCTACACAGCGAATCGCGGCGTCTTAGACGACTGGGCCACCCGTGCTCCCAGTAACACAAAGAAGGTACATACGAATCTAATACTTATATGGGCAGGGCATCGTTCGACAAAGTGATCTAAGCACTACGACTATCGTAAGCCAGTGTTAGAGTATGGGAGTTACGATCACCTGAGCGCTAAGATGACTTTGTGGAACGGGGCCCTGGAACTCTTATTCACGTTCCGCACTTACACAAACAAATACTTTCTATGACTTCATTTGTGAATAAAATATAAATTTGAGAACTATTTGCCCCCGAGATCTTAAAAAGGTGATCAATAGAATACTTTTCTTAAGATATGATAGAAATGATAAAAAACATGATATAACGTAAGTGCAACCATCTTATCAAACGTGTATATACATATAATATACAACCATCATATAAATATAAACCTACTCTAATACAGTGACGGCCGCTGTGTCCTACTTTACTGGAATACACACGTATCAAAACACACACACACACACACACACACACACACACACACACACACACACACACACACACACACACACACACACACACACACTAACTAACTAACTAACTAACTAACTAACTAACTAACTAACTAACTAAGATGTAGCAAATGTTTTACACGGCCAGGAAGCATCCACCATAGTGGTTAGACGGGTGCCCCATTCGTTTAAGCTGACTCCAAACGCTTTGCAGAGTTGCGTCCCTTAGGCGTACCAGAACCCATCACCCTATGTGCCAATTCCAGATGTTCCCTGTATTATGTGTCCAGGTTTATCATCACCATACCCGTGCTCGTGCGTTTCACAAAAATGGTAAGACTTGCATCCTTTAAGGTATCCCTGACACTCCACGTTAAACCAAGAGCGGCGTTAAACCAAACTTACTTACTCACTCCATCAAAGTGAGTGAGTGAGTTTAGTTTAACACCGTTTTGAACAGTATATAAAAGTTACATCACCGCGTGTCAACTTAATGTTCGGCAAAGGCAATGGCGTCACATGTCCTAAACATACACCATCTAGATTAAGCCCACGAGCACGGGTATAGTGATGACAGACCATCACAGTCATCGATTGCTGGAACTGATTGTCAGCGTATCCTTGCAAGGCTGAGTGACGCAACTCTATACAACGAACTAATGTGACTTCCTAGAACACTGAAATACCCACATGGTAAAACCCGGATCTATTTAGAACATAACAACCGAGCTATCAACAATTACGGATTATATGTCCACGAGTGAATAAATTGTATCGAGCTTTCTGGCGAGTGAGTGAGTTGGGTTTAGCGCCGCTTTGAACAGTATTCCAGTTATATAGCAGTACGTCAGCTTGATGTGGAAGGAAAGCCAAAAGTGATGTAGGTCTAAGACCTTTACTGCTTTTATGAAACCTATGAGCACGGGTATGGTGCTGACAAACTTAAAAACATAATCTGGCCGAACCGGTATTCGAACCAACGATCATAGGTTTCTGGCGTGCCCAACAGACGCAACTCTGTGCGGTGTTATTCGTACATGTTAAAACTGTAATTCGAAAAGTAGGACAGTGAGCTTATCGAACAGCTGAAAAAGAAATATGGTATCGAGCTATTTCTACTCCAAACATTGAAGAAGGCTTATCTGCGTGACCTGGAGTGAAGACATGACACACTTCCAAGCCATTAATCACCGGGACAGCCACAACCTTGGAGAACAATTTACCACTTTACACTTTAACAAATATCATGGAGACAGGATACACACACACACAACCTGATCTGGAACGGAAAATCGATGGATGTAATTATTACAGACATTTAAAGACCATGAACACACGCCCAGGTTGCCAGCAACAATGAAGGACGCCTGAATGAGAGAACACGAGATTCAGTTTTCACCACATATATTCAAAGGTGAAAGTAACTACAATCATGTCATCGTCTGTCATATTGTGTTTTTTAGGCACGGGACTTGAGGATATTTTGAATATGCATTATGGAATTTTTCTAGAGAATTTGATTTCCATGGAGTCATGGTGAAATATCCGTCTTTTTTTCATTTCTTGTTAAATATTTACAGTACACTTCAAGGCTACCACTACCCTGATCTATAAGTACAACTGGTTTATTGTGTGCACAGTTAGAGATTGATTAGTCTGCAAAACCATAAAGGTGTTTATCAAAGTTACTATTTTTTTCAGTAAGTATACTCACGAAATTGACATTGTCATGAATATGAAATGCATAAAAGTTAAACATAATTTTCATATCTGTCAAATCAATGCTCTGTATCTGTACATGTATTTAACAAAATAAATATTACCATTATAAGGTTGACACGGGAAAGCACATTTTCGTTTTGATTCACGGTGCAGGGTTGAATCATTTTCGATAACATAATACATTTGGCAACGCTAGTTTGAACAACATTTTTCATAAACAAAAAGTCTCAAACGGTATAAAGCAAACTGAACAACATGAAGTACACAGGTTAACACAGTTATACCACTAGTAACTCCTAGAGTCAGTCCAACGTTGTTCCAGTCTAAAACGATTGGATAGATGACGTTGCGATGGTCATATGCCCAGTAGATGGCGCTGAAGACGACGTAGCAGAGACCGTACACAACGGGGTATATGACGTGAAGAAGACGCATCGGGCGAGCGCTAACAACGTTGTCGACTACAATGAAAACGGTGTTAAGGGCGTGGACGTTCATGTCTTCAAGGGAGATGGCGGCCGTCGATGTGTATAACACCCCGAAAAATATTGCAGTCACAATGATGGCGAACGTCGACACTATGTTTGAAAGGAGCCAGGATATTTTGGAATACCAAGGAAGAATAATTGTGTCAATATCGACATGTGTTTGTGAAGAGTCCGAATTTGTTGTGGAACCGTCGACAATTTTGACGTTATTTTCGTTGTCGAAGACGACGCTTTTGTTGTTTTCTCTCACCAAACCATTGACGGCATCAGAGGTGAAAGTTGCGTTGTCGTAAAACCCGGAAGTGGTGACGCTCTTCAGTTGACATTCCGTCGATGACGTCTTTGCGTGTTTGAAATAGACCAGGGATATGATGAACGCCAGTACCAAATGACAGGTGAGAAGTGTGTAGGTCCAAACAGTCAGAAACACAATGGCGTGGTACTGTCGCGGCTGCGTCACGTTGTGTGACGTCGAGTTGACATCGTCGTTGAAGTTATCCTCGGATTTGATGAAGATGTGAACAAGGGCAAAGCAGGCATAGGCTGCTATCAGCAAGCGGTAGATGACGTACGCCGGGCGAGTCCATCCCAGCTGAAAATGAAGTATCAAATATAACCATTTTCAAATATCATAATTTAACCATTTCGACCCATCTTCACTTGTAACTCATCTACCCCGTGGAAATTCAGGATATGAATACAGGACCCCAGCAATCTTTGGATCAGGGGGTCGGGGACGGTGACTTAATTGATGCATGACTTCGCAACTCGAAGGCCTGGACCGCTCGTTATAATATAGATTTTATGGTCAAGACTCGATTAATTACAGGCATGTAGCTGGAATATTGCTGAGTGCGGCGTAAAACAACAACACACACACACACACACACACACACACACACACACACACACACACACACACACACACACACACACACACACACACACACACACACACACACACACACACACACACACACACACACACACACAATAACTGAGTGATGTTCTATGCCGCTTTAAACAATATTCCCGCAATATCACTGCAGGGGATTTCAAGAAGGGGATTCACATATACTAGTAATAACCATATGGGGAATAGAACTCTTCGTTCCAACCAGTATTATATTGCAATTAGTAAATAATATTCTACATATATAGGTAACTGGACTGTTATAGGTAGACACACGTCTCACACAAGGTCCATTATTCAAAAGCTCTAATAAGTTAGTCATACAATTATATTACCTATGTCCTTAAAGGCGCTATGAATGTTATGGTATGGCCGCTATACGAACAGGATCACATATCTCCCCAGCCACAGAATAATGGTTCTTTAATGAATGACGTTTAAATGATACGTTAAAGTTTAATGACAAGTGTTTGGACCCATCCCAGTGTCGTTGTTCCAATGGTCGTTTCAAGATGTATAAGACGGATAAAGATTCCCAAGGTGTAATTGTAACCACGATCTGAGTTATATTTGTGACATTAAGTATGGGAAAGTACTACCATCATAAATATGTTATTGCCAAGTATCAGTTATCAAGTGTCACTTGAAAACGTTTACAATGGCGTTCTATTTTGGCTATACATATCTGTAACGTTGACTTCTCATAGTGAGTACGAAACTGTCATTAATCAAGAAAGGTAGTGGTATCTGTACTGACACGTCGTATTGAAATAATAAAGAAGTTATTTTTTATATATAAAAACCTGTTTAAATGATACAAAAGTAATTTATAAAATAGTTTTAGTTAGCAAGAGGTCTTTGGCGTTACTTCTATTTTAAAATCATATTTGTTAACGACTGTATTATTTTTATTAGCTTCGCGCGAAAAGCTAGGAAATTGCCAAAGCGGCTTAGGCAAATTTATTCATACATTCATCTTTATTTGCAAAGTACAATATCGTGTAAATTTACATATAGCTTTAAACACCACTACCTGACATAATAACACACATTCCGCGCGTTACTAAGTAGGATGACCTCCTTTATCCGAACACTATGTATAAAGAACCATTTTAATGAATGTCTGGAGGAACGCACCTAGCGTACAGTACAGTGCATACGGTAAACTCTCATTGCCACTTCAATCGTCCGGACAACACATTTCAAGATAAAGGAACCATGGTCACAGATTAATGTATATTCTTATGTAAAGACGTTCCTGGCAGAATCGCCTTGACAGTGGAGTATCCGGACTAGCGGGGTCGAGACTAACGAGGTGGATGGGTGACCGTGTTCAGCAAGCTTGACTCCTAAAAGTTTCTTAGACTTCAGTCCTCCCCCATCCTGAAAGACATACCAAATGTAGCGTCTCCTTAACCTAGTGACTTTCCACGAAGCAGTGAATGGGTACCCGTAGGGAGAGAGAGAGAGAGAGAGAGAGAGAGAGAGAGAGAGAGAGAGTGAGAGTGAGAGAGAGAGTGAGAGAGAGAGAGAGAGAGAGAGAGAGAGAGAGAGAGAGAGAGAGAGAGAGAGAGAGAGAGTAATGCACTGTCTGTTAACCTTCTAGCGCCTCATATGCAAAGTGGGTTGTATACTCCCGAGGAAGCTGAGAATGAAATTCGAATGCATATTGATCCATTGGCCGGGGTATTAATAATGTAGTGTTATGCGCATTCACTTTGTGAATGGAATCTGACGCAATATAAATGGAATTATTATTAGCATTAGTATTAGTAGTAGAATAAGTTGACTTGTATTATTATCATCATTCTTCTTCTTCTTCTTATATCGGGAATCGATATCAACAGGCTCCGGAATACAGAGCTTCTTTAGTGTAAACAATGGATCACAGATATAAAATCGAGACTACAAAGTCGTGTTTTAATGAAAGTATAACGTATGCCCTCTCTGCATGTACTTGAGAAAAAATATTTGTATTAATCCGTCAGCTGTACGGCACCCCGAGGTCGTGGCTGTACGGAGGTCATGATATATCGGATCTACAATGTAAATATCGGATTTATATACATAAAGTCTAGATCAACACGCCGAACAGGGACAAAACGTGTTTCATGTAAATATGTTTGCCTTCCCACGAAGTCAATGTTTGCACAAGTTCGACAGTTCGAAAGGGAAGAGACCAGCGGCATACATCATTGTATTACTTTCTGTATATAACATCACTTAGATATATTACATTAAATGTGTGAAATATCTTAACTTTTCACTTAGGCAATTTACAAAACGCATGTTATTATGTGACAAAAAAACATCTTGTTCCAGAATATTATTATGATAATTCCTCATGACTTAATCGAGTTAACTGTTTTATTCAAGTGACACCGATACCCTCAAAGGTCTATCTATTTTCTTAAAATGAAATATGCCAATATAGGGATTATGATACGAACACGTATTTTTATACTGATTTTTCGAAATGAGTGTCAGAATTCTTGAAATTTCCGATACGTTTTAGTTTCATAAAATCAGTATGACACAAGCGAGTGTAATACTTTCCTAATTACCATTATTTCTTTATCACGATCGCCGTTTCAGAAAACACAATTGTCGAAAGACGTTAAGAATCTTCAGCTGTGACGTTGTTACTAGTGTGACGTCATTTCGTCATTACGTAACAATAAGATTCGAATAACATCAACAATGCTGCTAGGATGACGTAAACAGTACACTGGTCCGTGTGGAGGGATATTTGCACTATGTTATTTCTAGCACTATATGGGTAAGAAAAAGGATATATCCATATGTACCAGATAACACCGAAAGAGCCAAAATAGACGTTTCTTTACAGATGTAATGGATCATAAAGTCATTACCGCAGAATAATCTTTTTTCCATTGTCTTATCTTTCCTTAATATTGATTGTATTATAAAAGCGCTCATGTGCCCTGAATCACCTGTATCGGCAGCGCGTCTTATGTAAGATGCATGTTGCCTAACAACAAACATCCCTTGCCACATAGACACACCTGAGCTGAATTTGCTGGATGAGCTTCAAATGCTAAACGGGAAAAGAGACCACCTGTTCCTGAGTTCACGGTATCATGAGAGAGAGAGAGAGAGAGAGAGAGAGAGAGAGAGAGAGAGAGAGAGAGAGAGAGAGAGAGCACAGAAAGGGGCGACACAGCAAGGTGACAGCAGATTCTGAACAAAGGCAAGAGAGAGAGAGAGAGAAAGGAAGAGAGAGAGAGAGAGAGAGAGAGAGCACAGAAAGGGGCGATATAGCAAGGTGACAGCAGATTCTGAACAAAGGCAAGAGAGAGAGAGAGAGAAAGAAAGAGACAGAGAGAGAGAGAGAGAGGGGGGGGGGGGGGGCACAGAAAGGGGCGATATAGCAAGGTGACAGCAGATTCTGAACAAAGGCAAGAGAGAGAGAGGGTACTGGGAAAAGGTACTTGGAGAAGGTAGAATAGGTATATTGACAGGTGTGTGTCGTCGACGGTGTGTTCGGGGGGGGGGGGGGGGGGGGGGGCGTTGAGTATATAATCATTCACGTTATTTCAGTACCAGCCTCGGCAAACTGCGAGAGTGGTTACCCAAGCGTGAATGCCCAAGAGGGTGTTAGCTCTCTGTATGTATTGGCTGGCCATTTACAAGAAAATACTTTCTTCATAAATACAAAGCAGATGTAAGAGAATATGTGAGATAATATAGCGTTAGCGAGAACTTGTTCAGGTGAGTCAGTATCACGTTACCCATTCGCTCGTGATAGTGTGTGCTTCACAGTTCATGTGTTGTAACAGTAATCGCGGGGATATTTATACCCTGTATCTATATCCCCATCTGAATCTCCATCTAGTGGGATTACCGATCACGCTTCCCGAAAACCAGTTGAAATAAAACAGTGTTTCAACAGACAACCACGTACGGTCTTCTTGGTGATAAGGAGAGCGTTGTACACGTTTCGGCCAATAAAGTGTACGCTTGTTAAAAGACGCATTCTATTCATCGTTTACAGCTGAATTGCAGCTCGATAGACTATAATACTACTGACCTAGTTACAGGACGTACAGACCCAATGAATCAGCAACAATTTACAATCCATATCATCACAGCGCGATAGCGTACATGAGAAGATGTCGTAATATTTTGCAACGGTGTCGTAACAAAGCACAGATTGATCTTAAATTTAAGCAATGTTTTCTGAAATCGATATTATCGATTGTAATTTTAATACATGATACATTACATGTCCTGCTATGCTGACAGTTGACACCATTATTTTGTTCTTATTCGTCTTACATTGCCAACTTATCATTACACCATATGTCACATCTCAAAGTAAAAACTATTACAGTAAACTACGGTTATAACGAACTCAAATGGACCAGTAACTTTAGTTTGTTATAACCGTAGTCGTTATAAGTATAAATACAGCATAACTATAGCAAATAGTCGGGACAAAAAAGTCAGTTCGTTATATCCGTCAGTTCGCTATTAGCGTGTTCGTTATAACCCTACTTTACTGTACTTCGACATTGATAGAACGATATCTTAAATTACAATTTATGATATATGTAATAGACGTTAATTGGATATGAAAAGGTTTTACATAAAAACTGAATATTTACTACACATATTCTCATAAATATACAGATATGGCCCCCAGTCAAACTTACGTTCGTACTGCATGCTAACTGAGAACGTCCGAAGTAATCCGGGCGCTCGAAATTGAGCCAGGCGTTGCGTACACGAAATTCTTTTCTAATAACAGAACACATGGCAGAGAACAGCGGTCTCTCACAGCCCCACTGGTTGTAACACTACACCGCTCGTCTCACGTGGGCTTTATAAGTTTACTACGGCAGATAAGATAGTTTGAGGTGGCCAACCCTCGCCATTGAGGTAACGCTGGCCACGTGACGTGAAAGCGACCAATCAGAAGCAGATAACTCCTGGACTGTAAATATTACCGAAGTTCGCATGGGTATGAATACCGTGCTCAAATTAGTAAAGGTTTGCCTGTAACCGTGAGATGAGACATGGTTACTGGACTGATAAGCGGATATGTATGCTGACGAACTATGTTGACTTTTCGACGTCGTATATGACAACAAGATTGCAACTGAAAGGGCGGTGGAGTGTGTGGGGTGGGAGCTAGGTGGGTATGTGAAGTTATCATATGACGGGTAGGTTTCTCGGCAGGACAAAACAAACGAAAAAACCCGATATCCATTGAGGTCATATGCAGAAAAAGATGCGAGTGTCTCAAGTAGGGACTACTTTCAGTGTTTACAAACAAACATGGCGTCGCCCTTGTCATTCGGCCATCGAATCAGAATTAACCATCGGGAATCTGGATAAACTACTGGGATAATTGCTATTATTATCAAAAGAATAGTCTGATATACTGAATATCAGTGTTAACTGTGAAGTAGCTAAAGCATTTTAGAAGTTTTGGCAACTTTAGAAATATAAATTGCGAAACAATTTAGCGAGGAGAATGCCTGGAGCCAGTAGCAGGATCAGTTTCCATATCTTTGCTTCCATATCTCCCACATTTTATCTGCGGCTTGGAAGCTTCCCCCAAAACTAACACCGTTGGATTTGGCCGAAATATGTACGAATTGTTACCTTATTTCGTTTTGTCGCTGTGTGTACATCTGACTGCACTTCGTAACGTAATGACAACCTCTAAATAAACGTGACGTCTCATAGACCATCTCCCCGAGGCAAGAGAGTTAACTGACTTTAAAAGTCCAGTTTCCACCCTTGCCGAATTAGGTTGGAATTACTGGGCTCAATCGTAGCGTGGCCAGTGGCTATTACAAGTTATGTCCCTTCTAAGTCTCTCCTATGGACCAATCAGATTCCACCTCTCGAATCAATTGCGTTTGCTTCACACAAACTGTTGGCGCGATCTGCTCGATAATCAAGATCTATATTGTGATAAAACAGGTCTTACATCGCGAAATGCATCAAATCACGTGAGCACCTTGATTAAAAACATGAGAAGATTTGGAAAATATCTGCTGACAACGAGTTGGCGGTGCAAATGCTTAGCAATTCCTGCAATTGACTGAAATCTGCACGACAGTTTACGAACCGGATTTCCATTTCGGTGCGCGATTTTGATTGGACTATGCATAGACTCGTTAGTCCAGCCAAAATGTAACTCCATTATACCAGCCTAGTTCGGCAAGGGTGGACACTGGACTTTTATAGTCAGTTAACTCTCTTGCCTCGGAAAAATACTCATAGACTAGGGTCAGAGTAAAGGACAGTTACTCTAGCTGACAGACCGATGGATTGCCGCGAACGGTGTTTTGCCTATATGCGGTTACGCTACCGAAAAAGAAACAGGTTTCAGATGGAACTATATTGACTGTTGTCACTGTCCGAAAGTCACGTCACTTACCTTCTTACGTAATACATATTAATGCGCACATTTCAGGAAAGCTTGCAATATTTGTGAGAGATGGGAAGAGCGTTTTCGAGCACAGAATAGAAGCGTGTGGAAACCTCTATGTGTCAGCTGTTGAAAGATTTGGCACCCGTTTTAATGCAGCGTGGTGAATGAGGAGCACATTTTACTATCATGTCCTTTCTGGAACTAAGGTAATTAATGAGCCATAATGTAATTTATACTAGAAAGTCGTGGCTTGAAATGAAATGACAACATTGACCTAAAAATAATTATGTGCAAGCAACATTGCAAGAATTATATATGAATTGTACCTTGTACCGTAGAATTTTGGAACTCTTTGACAGGAGATATATTAAACCAGTACAGTGACTATAAGCAGTTTTACACATAATACCTCCCCGAAATTAGGACATACATTTTGATTTGAGTCAAGTTTGGAAATATATTCTGCCAAGTAATACATTCTCGATCTCAATTGTAACGATATAAATTCACATAAAACTGATAGGTTCTTTTCAAATTATCCATCCCGCTCTTGTAGCGCTACGTATGAAACTATCTTTCATTACTTTTTGTGTGTCCATTATACCAAAATACCTCCTGAGATAGTTCGCCTTCCTCTTTACTTCAGTGATTTTACGTTGTGAAAGTAGATCTCTCAAAGGAATAAGGACGTAATGGGACGTAATTTCTCGTAATTTGATTGGTGAAAAACAGACATGTGACCATTTTCTCACACCTCTTAATACGATGGGATCCATACTGGGACATTCTGACTTTGGCAGTCTACAGGTCAGTTTCAATCCAAGGGCAGATAAGTCAGTCCAAAAGTTCCCCTTGTCCTCACACACCTTAAGACATTTATTTCATTTAAAAGAAGTGTTTGAATCTTAGTGGCATCCCGATGGTCAAGGTTTATCGGAAGTTCGGGTATATATTTAAACCTCCTTGATACGAACCAAGGGACTTACTGTTAGGACAAGATGGCTACAATTTTATCCCCAGACGCACAAGTGTCTTTTGACAAGTGTCATCAAACCACAGTAGGAGAAGGACAAGGGGACATTTCTTTTGAGGACACTTGATGAAGTGTATGACGAGGCTGACACTGATATCAGCTAGACTGGTTCCAGTCGCTGCTTCAGAATTAGATGTCGTATATATATACACTCTTCAAAAAAAGAAACGCACAGGTAGATTTTTAGTAAATGTTTTGTATATACCTAATAAAGTCGATATAATTTAATATCATAGATACAAATACAAATTTTGGGGCTCAATAGTCACATGTTGTCGTTGTACAAAGGCATTGAAAACTGTTCATTGGAGGTTGCGCTGAACTCGTATCTCGTGTGCCCGCCCCGGGCAGCAATCACCGCTCTGCACCTCTTCGGCACTGACTGGGTAAGTGTACAAATTGTGTCCTGCGGAATTCTGCGCCACTCTGCTTGTAACGCGTTGGCCAGTTGTGGGAATGTCTTCGGCGTGTTCTGACGTTGACGTACACGTCGATCGAGTTCATCCCGCATGTGTTCGATTGGGTTGAGATCTGGTTCATGTATTGAGCCAAGTCCCGCACGTTTAGCATCAGCCGTGGTACTTGCGTCCGTCCCTGTATATATTCAAGGTACGTGTGTTAGTTTATAATGTGCTTAGTAATTTTAATCACCTCACAATTGATGAGTAAATTTGTGTAATCAATTGATTAAGGAGAAATCACCGTCATCGTTATGTTTTTGCTATGTTTCACCTCAAATTCTGTTCAGCTATTGAAAATGCATATTTTGGAGCATTGGGATAGCCCCGGGGAAAGGAATGGGTCACACAGTTTGAGGAACAAATATTAAATATATAGTCGAAGAAATTGAGCGGGTTGTATCAACCTCTTCACTGTTGTATTTTGTTCTACCTCTTACATGTTCAGTTTCTCACACAATTGTTTAGTCAAGACGTAGCACTCCAACATGTGAACAGACGATAGCTTAACCCCCCCCCCCCCCCCCCCCCCCATCTTGTGCACAGACAATAAGTCGACGGTCCCCCAGGTGTACAGACAGTATGTCAACTCTCCCCCAGGTGTACATACAATAAGTCAACACTCCCTCAGGTGTACAGACAATAAGTCAATAAGTCAACAATCACTCAGGTGTATAGACAATAAGTCGACGGTCCCCCAGGTGAACAGACGGTATGTCAACTCTCCCCCAGGTGTACATACAATAAGTCAACACTCCCTCAGGTGTACAGACAATAAGTCAATAAGTCAACAATCACTCAGGTGTACAGACAATAAGTCAACAATCACTCAGGTGTACAGACAATAAGTCAACACTCACTCAGGTGCACAGACTATAGCTCAACACTCACTCAGGTGTACAGACAATAAGTCAACTCTCCCCCAGGTGTACAGAAAATAAGTCAACACTCACTCAGGTGTACAGAAAATAAGTCAACACTCCCCCAGGTGCACAGACTATAAGTCAACAGTCACTCAGGTGTACAGACAATAAGTCAACACTCCCCCAGGTGTACAGACAATAAGTCAACACTCACTCAGGTGTATAGACAAAAAGTCAAAACTCACTCAGGTGTACAGACAATAAGTGAAATCTATCCAGGTGCACAGACAATACGTCAACACTCACTCAGGTGTACAGGCAATACGTCAACACTCCCCCAGGTGTACAGACACTAGGTCAACGCTCCCCCAGGTGTACAGACAAAAAGTCAACTATCCCCAGGTACACAGACAGTAAGTCAACTCTGCCCAAGGTGTACAGATAATAAGTCAACTCTCCCCCAGGTGTACAGACAATAAGTCAACTCTCCCCAGGTGTACATATAATAAGTCAACACTCCCCCAGGTGTACAGACAATAAGTCAACACTCACTCAGGTGTACAAATAATAAGCCAACTCTCCCCAGGTGTACAGACATAAATCAACTCTACCCCAGGTGTACATATAATAAGTCAACTCTCCCCAGGTGTACAGATAATAAGTCAACACTCCCCCAGGTGTACAGACAATAAATCAACTCTACCCCAGGTGTACATATAATAAGTCAACTCTCCCCAGGTGTACAGATAATAAGTCAACTCTCCCCAGGTGTACAGATAATAAGTCAACACTCCCCCAGGTGTACAGACAATAAATCAACTCTACCCCAGGTGTACATATAATAAGTCAACTCTCCCCAGGTGTACAGACAATAAATCAACTCTACCCCAGGTGTACATAATTATAATAAGTCAACTCTCCCCAGGTGTACAGATAATAAGTCAACTCTCCCCCAGGTGTACAGACAATAAATCAACTCTACCCCACGTGTACAGATAATAAGTCAACTCTCCCCCAGGTGTACAGACAATACATCAACTCTACCCCAGGTGTACATATAATAAGTCAACTCTCCCCAGGTGTACATATAATAAGTCAACACTCCCCCAGGTGTACAGACAATAAATCAACTC